TGACCGCTCGTACAGTGGCTCAGCCTCAGCGTACGTGCCCTGGTGTTCAGTCGTACTGCATGCCAGGGCAAGTACCTTGAGGCCGAGCGACTGTTAGAGCGGTCACAGGCTATACAAGAGGAGGTGCTATATCCGGAGCATCCTGATGTGGCCACGGTGCTCAACAACCGGGCGTTTTGTTAGCAAATGAGGTGAGTTGCAAACATCTTCCTCCGCAGTTCTAGATCTCGTTTAGACTGCAATCCGACCCGGTGTGGCGCTGTTCACTACATATCATGGCAAGTGTGCTGAGACAGAGCCACTCTTCAAACGGTCATGAGCTATGGAAAGGAAGGTTCGGGGCCGGGAGTACCCAGATGTGTCCAGGCGGTCGACAACCGGGCGGGCGCGATTGATAACATTTCAATCCGCAGTTGAATGATTTGTCACATGCAAACGTCAGCTTACCGCTGCTGGTGGTCAATGTATTCTTAAACGAAAGCGTTCCGATCCGGAACCACTTAGAAGAGCTCCTCTGGGCGTAAACCTGTGGTATGTTTATGCAAGACGGGTTCAGCAGTTCGTTCCTACAGGTGCATGCGCCAGAAAGAAGTTCGTACATTCATCAGCTTCTCTCCCGTCGGCATAGGTGGTACGTCGACTACAGCCGTACACAGGATCCAACATTACACGGCAGCAGTCTGGTCTGTAGTCTAATTAGGTTTACAGAAGGAACATATCTGGTTGCCTTGAGGTCTTGCCGTCCATATCATCAATTGTGGTCAACGGAAAGTCCACAATGTTTCCTTTGCTAACGTGACTGAGCCCAGTCACATGCTGTAGGTGACGATTTAAGCTGCTGCGCGCGGTCCCGATGTTCAACCACCAGCTGCTGGCCCATGACGATTTTGCGCATACTTTTCGCGCTGCCGTTGATCTTGCCACAACCAACTGTAGATGGGACAGGCTGAACGGGACCGTCGAAGGGTAGAGCGCCTGGAGTTTGAACGCAAGCACATGGAGCAAAAGGCGCTCGAGGAGGCGGAGCTCTTGAACCCACCCGACCCTGCAGAGGCATTGAACCACCTCCACCCCGATGTGAAATGGGGTGAGAACTTTGGCATGTGCTTTTGAAGACGTTACGGGATTCAGTGCGAACTTACCACCCTTCACAGCTGTCCAAAGCACCAGCAACATTAGGGTCAATATTGAGGGAAGTCTGGACTCACAAACATTCTGTTCACAAGAAAAAATAACCAACATTGAATTGTCCCAGGATAGGCATTGGCAACGCTTCTTTGTGAAGCAGAACTGCTTCACCACAAGATTTAACATGGAGGCAGTTCTTGGTAACAAGGCTTAGGCTTTGAGCGGAATCATTCGTAGATATCATGCCGAAGAAGGGACAAGTTGTCTCGGGAGTGGCATCTGGAAAGAGGAGTTTCGCCGGCCCGTGAGTCTCGCAGAGTTTTAAAGGCATGAGGTGCCGAAGGTGCCTTTATATATGTTCACCCGCAAACAAGTTGGTATCTGGGGAGGTGACGTCATGGTAATTCTCGCACGCCCGGAGTTTGGTACTTCACGCTGTCGAACGTGCCGGAAAACGAAGTCGCTCATTGAAAATCTGAAAAACCGTCTGCTAGAATACGCGAAAGCACGAAACCATGAGACAGGAAACACAGCAACGGACAGAAAGGGGAGCACAGCCAGAGCCGAATTTCAAAGGAGCTCATGGAGAGAGACACAACCGAGATAATAAGAGCTGTAAGGACGGCACTAAGCGACGCCACGAAATGCTATTAATAATACAATGCGCAGGGCCCGAGGACGAGGCTAGCGCCATGGCACTGATTACTGAGGCAGCGGTGGCTTATGACAAGACCTCCCCGGCGTCTATTAGCCTCGACGCCTTCGAAGGCGCCACCATGACTCCCCTAGTTTTCAGGGAGCAACTTCGCAGGTTCGACCCTATCATGCAATCCTGCCAAGCAGACCGTATCGTGCTCGGCTTTTGAGCACATCTCTCACGGGTGATTTCAAACCCCAGACCCTGGGAACACAAATGGTGGTAGAATTTTTCCTCCCGTTGTTCTTCGCGTGGGTCGAGCAACGGAGTGGCTTCGGGGGGGAGTATGCTATACGCACGGTCTTGGAGGATGAAGTTAGGACACCGGTGGTATGGAGAGCTGCCGGGTTGGGTCGGTTGTCACGCACCTCCCCTCGCGCTAGACATCAGAGGCTTGTACCGGTCCATCAGCACTCGTTTTATGCGTTCTGAACCTTCTTTCCTTGGCAAGCCTTTCTTCGAGCACAAAAGAATGCTCGCGTTGATATCATGATTGCCCCCACACCTGCTTCGATATCGGTCTTACTTTCAGCGAACTAGGACGGTAGTTAAGGGGCTTCGGAATCAAACCCATGCTATGATCCCGTTCCGATGCTTCAGCTGGCACTGCTGCAATATTTGTGCAGGGTTTTCAACATCAAGCTATCTCCTCCGCAGCTCGCGGCGGTCATGGCGAGTTTTGACAAGGATCACGACGGCTCCGTCAACTGCGCAGAGTTCCTGCTCAAGTTTTTCATGACAGGGTTTCAGGTTAGCGAGGCAGAATCCGGCTATTTGTGTGTGTGGTGGAGGGCTGTAGGAAACCTCCCAGCAGGAAAGCAGCAGTGATTTGCATTGCCGTACTTATTAGCGTCCATAAGAACCCGACATTGTTGCCCTCGTGATTGAGGGTCCATGAGATTGGGTCACGCCCTCGTGTGACAAAGCTTTAGGTCTCACATTCGTTCGTTACGTTCGGGCCACGTCGTTTGCTTGGTTGGACAGGAGCGGTCCAGGCGCCTCCATATTCGGCGAGAGGGTGAGCGGAAGCGGAAGGAGAAGGAAGAGGCGGAAACGGAGGCTAGGCGGGCGGAGGCAGAGGAACGAGCTAGGCAAAAGGTGTGGGCGTGCTGCAACAGGTCGGCGCCTAGTACAATATCGACGATAGCCTTCGAGCGAGTGTTGGAGGACAGCAATGAGCACATGTACTTGCACAATATCATCACACGTAAACCGCTGCCCAGACCCCATACCGTTGTTGATGCTGTTCTTGACATTGTTCTCGGCTAGACTTCTACAATCGTTTTGACGATATATTTCGCCTTCAGAAGCTAGCCCAACACGAGACAGTGAAATTTCGTAGAGAGCCAAGCCCGAAGAGGTGCAATACAGTTAAGGGCAGAGGAAAATTCAGAACGAATCCCATCTCTCCAACATAAACCTGGAGTAGAATTAGCAGATCGTACTTGGATTACAGCTACAACTAAAGCATCTCTAATAGGCTTTGGTCCGAAGACGACAGTGTTTGTAGTCGGTGTTTCCGCCGACAAAGCTAGCCCCCCGCACATATCGTGCATGATGCTTGCGAAGAAGTCCTCATGCAGAAACAAAGTCAAAAACACAAGCTTGTTTCCCGGGGTACACACAAACGCTTAGGTGGACTACGAATATACTAGCGAGGAACAAGCGAGTGGTCTGGCCAAGCTGGTGGAGGCCGCCGTAGCCTACGACGCCACAGGTCCTGCTTCCCTTGGCCTAGGAGCGTTTCAGGTACGTTCATCCAACACACTTTAAATCGCTACAGCACCTGTGCAAGCGAGCACGCAATATACGAGAAGGCAAGAAAGATAGGCAGCGTTTCTGTATGTCCAGAGAGAATGGGGACGCGCGTGCTGGAGGTAGGGAAACTCTTGTATCAGCACCTCGTCACCCGTCTAGTGGAACGTACTGCAACAACACGGAATGCGTAGAGTCGAGTTGCTTGTCTCGCGATAGCTATTCATGTGACACCGAACGAAAGACCTGTTCTGTCCTTTGACTCTATGTTGCTTTCGCCACCGCTACTGCCGCGGTCTTCTACTCGTTGCGTTGTTTCAGGGGCACAACATGCCGCCTCATGTGTTCCGGGAACAGCTGAGGAAGGTCTTCAACATCAAGCTCACGCCTGCGGTAAGTGGTGTTTGATTGGCTTGCCGTTCGCACTAATAATAGACCTCGGTGGTTGGCTTATCCGGGTGAAACCCGGCTCGACAAGGGTACGATCAGTGTTAAACGACCCCTAGATATCTTTGCACGTCTAAGCCGGGCATGGGGTATTTGTTGCCGCGAGAGGTTTGACGGCATGGTGTCTGATGATCGATTCAACCCCGTTCGTCGTTGCCACAACACGTTCTGCCTGAGATGTTATTGTTCCGTTTATAGAGCTCCTTGAGGGGATGCACGGCCGTGGCAAGGGGGTCTTGGAAAACGCTACCCCATCTCAAGAGCAGTTACTCAGAGGAGAACACTGCGGTTGCATGATTTGATACGTTATGTCTGGTTTTGTGGGTTGCTGCAGGAGGTAGAGTGTGCGCGCCCCCAAGTATGTACGAGGACAAAGGGGCGATACATCGAATGCCATGGTGTGCCCTTTGCTTTCGCCAAGTCGGATAACTTCAGCCCCGTGTTTGAATAGCAACCCCAGACAAGTGGTGCCTTCGCTTCCTGCATGTTGCTTGTTGCAGGAGCTCGGGGGCGTGATGCATCGGTTTGACAAGGATGACGATGGAACTGTGGACGTCGTGGAGTTTACGAAGATGTTCTTCAAGATGGGGTTTGACGAGAGGAACAGGAGGACAAAGAAGAAACGAAAAGCTGATGCGGTAAGAGAGTGCGGGTATGTACCTGCCCTTGCGGTGATACCTCGCGGGTGGAGGGATTGAAACGTTGTTTCAACCGAGTGTTTCCCGCGCAGGGACATTGTATATCATTCAATAACGCCATTGCGGAATCTGTCAAGTAAATCATCAGACTGTGCGACTGCTATTCCTGTGACTTGTTCCTGCTTCGCCAAGAAACGGGAGGCCCTTCTGGCGGAGGAAGAAGCGCGGAAGCGACGGCAGGAGGAGAGAAAGAACGCTCTGAAAATAAACAGGTCATATTCTGAGCGGCACTACCAGTCGGCGATGGCCAAGATAACCAAGGCCGCAGCCAGGTACGCACTCCCGGCGACCCGCCCTCCTCAGCAATTCCTCGCGGGAATTCATCGACAAAGAGGGGTGTTCCGATGCCCATCTTGGGGGAAGTTTCGCCATGTGGTATCAGAAAGGACCCTGTTGGACACGTATACTCCAGCGTTGAAGGTGTACCATGAAAGAAGGCTTAGGAAAATGTCTTGCCGACCATTTAGAGACGACTTGTGGGTTAAGAGCTTTCCGAAAACATGCCGCGTGGCCTTGGCACCGCCGTTTGCACTACGGAATAGCCGGGCAAGAAATTTTGTCCAGGAAACAGCGAGTGGGGGTTGAGTATGATGTCACCTACGATACTTCGCGCACGTCGCCGCCCTTGACATAACTCCGGACAAGACACGGCGGACAGACTTCTTTCATGATACTACGCCCGTTGGCATGAGTGGGAAAATAATGAGGGCACGCCATTGTTCGTTCCGACATGGTCGTTTCACGTAGGAAACCACGAAGATGTCCGCAAATTCCGTGGTACAGGAGAAGTCGGCGGTTTTCGCATCTCCTCTCAATCCTTTGTTTCTGTGCGGCGCTCGAACGTTTTCTTCCAGGTACGACAAGAACCACCCCAGCGCCGTGTCTCTGGATGCCTTTGATGGGGCGCAAATGGAGCCTCATGTGTTTCGTGAACAGCTCAAGAGGGTGAGCGAGCTCATCATATTGCGTGAAGTTGGAGTGTACTATTATCCATCGGTACATGTCACCACCCCATACACCCCCCCGCGTTCGGGATTCTGACCGTAGCTCATGCTGACATGGGGTGCGCCCTACGATTGAGCGGCCCGCACGCGAGAGAGGAGCGGTCAAGGTTGTCAAGAAGTAATCACGCGAGCCCCTCTCTCTCCCACTCCCCAAACAGGCGTTCGGGATACAGTTGACACCACCTGAGCTGGGCGCTGCCATCCACGCCTTCGACAAAGACGGCGATGGGTCGATCAGCTGCCCGGAGTTCCTCCGCACTTTTTTCAGGCTTGGTGAGAAAGTTCACATGTTTCCGGAAGGTGGAGAGGTTGGAGGGAAAGGGGGAATGGACAGCAACATAGTTACCGTCTGGAGCGGGTAGAACTTCTCGAAAACATATTTCCACACGCAATATTTGACCTTGGTTTGCAAAGCACCCTTGCCGCCCCAACAACACATCGTATTCGCGTTGACATCCCACGTTGAGTCTACAACCACTCCTTGATTTTTCTCTCTGGGCGGCCCATTGAGGCAGGGTTTGAGGTGAAATCTGAAACCAGCACCAGGAGGAGAACCAGGGACCGGAAGATGGCGAGGAGGGTAGAGGAGGAGGCGGCCGAGAAAGTGAGCTAGCCCACACCGGCAGCCGTCCCCAAAGCGGGTAGTTTTATCGTGAAAATACAGCAGATGTTGATCGCACTACCCTAACTCTAACGTTGCCTCAAACAGGTGCAACGACGGGAAGCGCTGCTGAGGAGATATTTAGAACCTCATATCAGACACAATAATTGCCCCTCATTTGTTTCTTGTTAGAACAGAATGGCAGCGTTCATCACTACTGAAATGTTTCGAAGGGCTGACATTGTGGGAATGCGAAGCTTAAGTTCCACACACGCTCTGCTGCTGCTTCTGCTGCTGCTGCCGCCGTTCCGACTGCTGCGATCACAATCGCCGCTGTATCATTCCCGTCTGCGTATTGCTTTATGAAATGTAACAACGGTGGGCTGCGAACGTTCATGAACCGAAAGGAGCGGGAGATTGAGCGCAAGGCGGCGCTTAAGGTCAGCGAAAGCTTCGATGAGCACGACAAGGAGTCTGCGATGGCCAAGATTGCTGACGCAGCATCCAGGTGGCTGAAGCATCCCGAACCGCAAAGACTCCTTTCTACCACTTGTGTAGTATGCTAAGTTGGTTGGCTTGAGCGAAGAAAGATTCGTCAGGTGTTGCGACAATTACACGGCTTGTCCCCCAGAACCCCGATGAATTATTTCTTCCACACCCAAATCCACGGGCGGGGCATCCGCCGCCCTCGTCCGAAGGACATGTTTTTTCTGAACAACCAGTATTCTTGTCCCGAAACGCGCGTACTCGCGCGGCAGGTACGACAAGAATCACCCGAGCTGTCTGGGGCTCGATGGCTTCGAGGGGGCCTTGATGCCACCACACATCTTCAAGGAGCAGCTAAAAAGGGTAAGAGAGATGTTTCTCACAGAGCTGAATTTTACATTCGTAAACAGTGTGGGAATTACCCCGTTCGCCGTGAAATATATATTATGGTATCACGGCATTCACGAATGTGTACAACAATATCTATCGTTCGTTTTGAAGAAGGATATGATATGATCAGCTTCAAGTTCGAATCAAATGAATGCCTCAAACAGCAATGAAGACTTCGATACACATGCGTGACCTGCTTCAGGTATCCTAACGAAGACCGGGGCATTGGCCCATTTACCAGGGCACCCAATGACCAGAATAGGTAGAATCGATGAACCGGTAGAAGAATATGTCAACCGCCAACTATGAATCCTGCATTTGGAGGTTCACGTGAGCCAGTAGGTTTCGTAGGCGGGTGTGTGTGCAAGAGACTCCAAACAAACAGATTGCTTCCATTCCCTTGGTCGGTCGGTGGACTATTTCGATGCCTTCAGGCTTCAGCAATTACTTAGGTTGTTGAATACGTGAATCACCCGTTTCAGAAAGGCAGCTACCTAGATCAATTCACGCCTAGCGTTTGGTATTCCTGCTGGCGTCCTCTGTTCATGGGATCCAACAGTGCACAGCCTCCAATATTGGAGGAGGTACAAGTGTACACAAGGCTAACCGTTTCTCCACTGCAGTTTTCGTCGTTGATGCACATTGTTCGTGGTGTGAACTCGACGATCGCACTTCGGTCAATGCCAAACCCTTGCATAAGGTGTTCGGCCTCAAGCTTAGCCCTAGTGAGCTTGGAGCGATGATGCAGGAGTTCGACAAGGACGGCGACGGGACGGTTAATTGTGCCGAGTTCCTCCTGACGTTTTTCCGGGTTGGCTTCGAGAGCCGAAACCGAGCGCTCCAGAGGTACAGTAACTCGCAGGAACGAGCGTCGGTTGACCCGTGGCCTTGTAGACGGGTCGAAGTTGCGTGGTTGACTTCATTGTGTTCTCCGTAAGGCGTTCTGCGGTTCGCCGGGGGAGCATGGGCCGGGCCTTGTCGGGAGAAACTCTTCGTGCTGAAGTCTTACATCGCCCATCCAGTGACAGCAGTAGACAGGACATAGGATAAGGACAGATGGCCAACGTGGCTCTTGTGGATTGAACGGGCGTAAGCAAAGGTTTATGTTGTCGAAAAGGCCCACTCTATGTCGAAGAGACCCACTCTTTGTCGAAGAGCCCCACTCTTTGTCGAAGAGACCCACTCTTTGTCGAAGAGACCCACTCTATGAAGGAGTGAAAGGTGAACCGCATGCACTGGGACGAGAAGAAGTGGTACATCCACAATCCGAAGTATGAGTTTAACGATCTGCTGGTTCTATACGCTGACATCATTTTCGGTCTCCTGTGCATTGCTCTCGCCGCATGCCTGTATTCTTTTGGTCCACTGATTTTTCGTTCGGGGAAATATGCCGTGCCGACCGCTGTGATGCTCGTCCAAACTCTTGTGGCGGGACCAAAGACGGAGGGAAGAAGAGGCGGCCAGGGCGAAGCGGACGGAACAGGAGGAGAACAGGCGCTACCTCGAGGCGGAAAGGAGAAGACTTCAGGACGCCCTCGCCCCGTATACCGAGAAGGCAAGCAAGCAGTTCGCAGATTCAGAGTGACGAATAATGTGGAAATCATCGATACATTCTTCATCATATTTTATCGGATGGCTCGACGAAGGTAAGCTTCACCGGTGGATTTATCCTGGGTTTCCTAGAACCGTGTGTTCATTGGTCCCAAACAATGCTGGATGGTGCACAGCGAGGTTAGGCAAGCGCGCCTCCTCAGTTGGGACGGTAGCAAGCGCTGCGCTCAATATGTGCTGTTGCCGGTTACTCAAACTGAGCCCGTTCCACGCCATGCTAAGACCCATTCACGGGCAGGAAATACCATCCCAAACTTGCCTAAATGTACACGCTCGTTTTCGGTCAGGTGTGGTAAATCCACGTTGGTATCCACAGGGCCTGATTCGCGCACTCCTGCAAGTCATGTGTTGTGATTTGCGGTACCCAACACGGCTCATCCGATGCTGATCGTACGGTCGCACTGCATTTCAATTATCTGCATGCCGAAACGCCGAGTCTAGTGGTTTCGGGATGCGTGTTCCTTTGTCATGTGACCCTCTTGTTACACGCAAGTAGTCTGTTGTCCAATGTGTGTATTGCTTTTGAGTAGCTGCAGTCGCTGCAGTTCAACGTCTACGGTGCATTGTTGCTGCAGGCTAGTGAATAACAAGTGGACACGACTAAACCCACAGGCTGACGATCATCCTGTTCGCATGGCGTTCTGCAGGACCTGGATGACACGCTAGACTCCCTCATTGAGGCGGCGGCTCGATACGACAGGCGCCAACTAGGTCCGGGCGGGCTCAAGGCTTGGGAGGTAATTGACCGTCACAACGGGTACAAGGCACAGATGACACGTCCTTTGCTCCCGGAACAACCCCAAACCCCTCAGATGAAGTGTCGTGAGATTCCAAACAGAGCCGACGCCCGACCATCAGACACGGCCTGTACCTATTTACCTGCGTAGGCCAAAACGGTGAAAAATGCGGATACGTTGCCTCAGAAAATAGCGGCCATATTTTCTGGGGAACGGAAAGCATTGATACGCCATGGCACCAAGATTCCGGCCCGGACCACATCGTTCATTCGTAATACAAAGAAAGTACAACTTTCCGGGTATACTTGCCCAATCTACTTGGTCATACGAAGTGAAGTGAAAAATTAAAGTGAAATAAAAATATCAGAGTGAGTATTCGAAGTGAGCATTCGAAGTGAAAAAGAAGTGAATATGAAGTGAATACGAAGTGGATACGTAGTGAATCGAACGCCTTTGCTGTTTTCAACTCTGCTGGGGAAAACACCGAAAACAAATGCTATTGCGGCTACGTAGTAGCGCCTCATATCCTTCGTCCCTGTCTACGTCCCGTGGATTCCCTAGGTGAAGTGTATGACACCGACGGAGCTGAAGGCCGCCCTCCAGCGAACGTTTGACATCCGCCTGTCTCCGTCCCAGCTAGGTGCCGTGGCGCATCTCTTCGGGGTAGGAGGGGACGCGGCCGACGCAGACTTGTGCGACGGAGGTATCTCATTGGCTTCAGGCTGGACTGGACCGTGTAGCCTATTTAGATCACCCCCGGCGGCTGCAACTCGTCTGTGCATCACACAATGTTTCAAAGTGCAAGGAAGCCAAGCTTTGATTTGTCACGGACGACAGTCCTCGTCAAGCAGCCTCAAGAAAAGCTGGCGTTGAGAGCGTGTGCACCCACCCAAAGTGAATTTGGTGGTAGTTGAAGTGCTGATTATCAACCATTCATTTATTACTCTTCACCCTGAATAAAGGCCGTCGTGATGGAAGATTCGGACAGTAAATGCCACTGTGACATTCCACAAAGGTACGGTGTGCCTATGGCGTCATGTAGAGCCGCATTTTCTAGCTCTTTCGTCTAGACCAAACCGCTCATTGCGCGGCGCGGCATGGTCTCTCGTACGTTTCGAAGCCGAATTCAGGCCGCAAATAGCCCTTGGCTGGACCTGCCCGAGACGCCCAGCAGGAAACCTCTCGGAGATACCTTTGATGATCATCTTTCACTCTTTTTTTCGTCGCCACTGCCCCCGCCTGGACTGTTCTACCCGTGCAGCGTTCGCGCCGCCGGTGCAGATCGAAGTGCCGGAGTTTCTCACCACTTTCTTCAAAATTTCCGCCGTCGCCAAAAGGCTGGCGGCGCAGAGCGATTCGGCGGCGAGGCTCAGCGAGTACCGGGCTGCTCTCAAGGTGCGATTGATAGTGACCAGCATCATCACAACTGGATCGCTCAACGATTTTTCCCGACCACCGCGGAATGTTGGCACCATTGTTTGTTGTAGTGAATTCGAGTATATTAACTCTCTATGATTACCGAGTTTGGAAGATTTCTGGGGCCATGAGTAATCTCCCAGACCCATCAAGAAATGAGTGAAATCCTTTCCGGGAAGACATTTTCCCTACAGCAATCATGTGTCGTGCACCAGTTTCAGCTCCAACGTACGAGGAATATTCGCACATGGGCACTATGGTGGGAGCCATTCCGATCAATGTGCTCACACAAAAGCGTGAACGCCAAACAACTATCTTATGCTCCCAACCGCAAGCAGAGTAGATCATGGTGTTTCTTCACCCCTTATTGTGGAGGTGGCCGTGTGTGAATTCCGCTTTCCCCTCCGGAAGAACCTTCAACTACAGTGGCAATGTAGAACTTTGCAGCATTTCCTTTTTGTTTGGAAAATTTCCTCCTGTGGTAGCCTTGATTTCACACTCCACTGGTTATGGCTTCCCCTGATTGTGATTCCAACTTCGCCCCGCTCTTGAAACAAGAAGATATGTCGATTTGCCCCCCGCAACCAGCCTCCCTTGTTCGGCGACGTACCACCTGCACCACAAACGCCATGCAGGAGCGCCTCGCGCAGCAGGAGGAGGTCAGGCGGACCCTGAAAGCGATGCGTGACAACCCGCCAAAGAGAGCTCTTACCGCAGACAGCGGCTTGAAGAGGTGACGAAGGATATTTCGTGCTCAGAACCTGGTTATTCTATTGCACTTGGAGGTAGAAAATGGGGGCCAGACTTCTACTGGTATGAAGTAGACAAGGGTAACACGCGTACAAGTCGTCGAACATTGTGTGAGGGAATGCCTTTGGATATTCACCGGTGACAAATCACGCGGGGACGATTGAGCTAGCCTCCACAAGCTGGGCGAACTCAGCGAGTAAGGGACGCGAGTGGAATTACCGCTACCTCCATCAACTCGATTGCCCGCGGGACTCAGGCTACTTCTTGGCCGGTCGATTCATTGTCATCGAAAAGCAGACTTGTTTTGCAACACCAATCGTTGTTGCGCGCGGAATTCGCTGCGATATCCACTCCGTACGTCGTCCTTCGCCTGTAGGGCGGCCATCAAAGGGGGCAAAGGAGGCGCCGGGCCTAGGGCAGGCGGTCGGGCGATGGACCCAGTGGAAAGAATCCGTTTACAGGTTTCCAGAGCGCGGGCTACCAAGAGGCTGGACCTCTCCACGTGGGCCAACCGGAGGCAGGGGGATTTCCTCCTCAGCAGGGTGCCTCGAACTGTGAGACATGCAGATATTTTTCGGGCGTTCGACATTTTTTTCCAGACCGAGGTTTTCCGGGAACTTTCAACAACGATTGGGAACGTGCAGGTTTTCCCTATGTTCAATGCTTCTCCCTTCACATCCCGAGGACTCAGCGGAGGTTGGCCTGGTCGGTTGAAACGCTGCTGACTTCATGGGAGTTTATGGAGAGCCTCTTCGTCCTTGATCTAGGTTGCAGCGTTGTAATTTTCTTGTATGCAATGTTCTTTGAATAACTTGGCTTCCGGTCTCGGTCTATGCTCCCTTTATCGCGTTTCACCCATATCCGTCGTTCGAATCTCTGGATCACTTTCTTCCACAATGTGATACTTTTCGCGAGTGGTCGTTTCAAGGCAGGTCATTCATGTACATGAGCCAGGGTTTTCCATCCATTGGCAACGGAAATGCGTATCTTACCTTGGAGAATACAGAGGAGGAGCTACTGGAAATAGGTCCTAACGGCTAGCGAATAAAGACACCAGCACACCCTCTTTCTTCCTGTTTGCTGTTTGCCGTGTCGGCACTCGGTTGCCCAAAGAAGTGGGGACGAGGATCGTCCTTGTGATACGTGTACGTTCGTGTGCGAACGTTCCTGGAAAATGTTTGGAACATTTCCTGGACCGGTCGTCACAATACGATAGTATCTCCGTCACCGTTTATTCTTCCCCTGTAGTGTGGGATAAGACAGTGGCTTCACCTCCCGCGGCTGGTGAAGTCACCATTTCCAAACCTAACCCAGCGTGCTTCCAATACCGATTGGAAAGTGTTTTCATCCCATACTATATTCATCCCTTTTTTTTTCTTTTTTTTGGTCTGTCCGCCTGTCCGTATAGTAAACGCTTGTTTCCGAAAGCAGCTAGTGAGCGACTCTGTTCGCTCAATGGAAACTCGTTCAACTCCCGGTACTGTTCCTCCGTAATACCTTCTACCATGCCCTCGCCTCCTTCTCCTGGCGCTACCACCTCCATGAGCCTCATGTACCTCCATGCCTTCTTCGGGTTCTTCCGGTACGCTCTCTGCAAAATAACCGAAAGAGACTCTCCCGCCAATGCCCTCGAGATGGCTCCCCCTGCCCTAAACGAATACATCGAACCAACAACAACAAACAACAAACAACATCAACAAACAACAACAACCACGACCGCTACATATTGCGCCCTTTGTCTCCCTTGACGAGGTTCATCCCCATTCGTTGCAACGCGAGGTTGCCTTGAACGCGGACGTGCTTAGTACTAAACCCACCAACAGCCCCCACGTGGCCGATTAGTCTCGACTGCGATTGGTTTTGAGATCGACGGTACTCCGTCTTCTTGAAATGGTAGGATTTATTGGCCGCAATACCAGGTTCACTTTCCTTAATTGCAAACCTCGCCTCTCGTTACCCTCGCCAACGAAGGTGTGGCACCTAACTGGGCTACAAGAGCTTTGGTTGACCAACAACGACATCCAGATGCTCCCGCCTCAGATCCGAGAGTTGAGGTATCTCCGAACCTTGGGGGTCGGCCGCAACCGCATTAGCAGGTGCGAAGCCTGCCTGCTCAGCCGCATCAGCTATTATGCGCAACGCTATCCTAAGTGCGGCCTTATCTGGTCGAGTCACCCAAACGGTCGACAGTCAGGTCGTTTTCGTTTGCATGACATTGGAAGCTTGTTGTTGGGTTGTGTCGCTTGCCTCCGCCCACGTAACGTCCAAGATCGCGCTAGAACAGCTTTCGGAGCTAGTCTTGCCTTGAAAGAAGAAACGATACATCCAGTGTCGGTGCCGCTTGGCGTTGCTGCTGAGACCGAATTACCCTAAAGCCCTCCTCCCCCACACTGTTCCGAAAGGTTGCCCGGAGAGCTGGGGCTATTGCCTGACCTGGAGCACGTGTACGCGGAGAATAACTGGCTCAGCACTCTGCCGAAAGAGCTGGCGACGTGCAGGTTTGCCTCTAAAGAAGGACCACATACATTCAGCTCTTGACTTGAAACGTCTTCGACGATTCCTCTAGTGACACAGGGGTTGGTTCGAACCACGAAATTCTTGTTCATAGTCGTTCTACTCGAAAATGCTACTCCGTGTTTCGCTACCCACTTGGCGGCAACCCCGCTGCCATGCCAGCACCGGCGAAAGCCATCCTCTCACGCCAGTCTCATCCAAACGGAAGGGTGCTACAAACCCTGAACCGCTTTGCTACCCAGCACAAGCTCCCAGCGACGCGAAGGGAATGTTTTTCGCGGATCGCACAGCGACACCCGATCCCGCGGTTGTTCCGCCCAACAATACGTACTTATTTCCCTCTGGCTTTGATCCCTTGTACTATCCTGTGCACCTTCTTGACGGATGATGTTGACCAACACATTCCAACCGCGCTTGTCGTCATGCCAGGAACCTCCGGGAGTTGCGGCTAGACCGCAACCAGTTCTCGAGGCTGCCCGACTGCGTTCCCGAGCTCCGAAGCTTAGAGGTGCTCGATCTCCGGGGAAACTCCATCACGACCCTCCCACCTGACCTCAAGTTTCTGCGGTCGCTGCTCGACCTCGACCTCGAGGGAAACCCCATTGGGCCCGAGGTCTGTGGTTTTGCACCACTAGGAATGAGTACCCAGTTGTGTGGAGCTGCTCATTTGCCCACTTCGGTCGTCATTGGGTGTCTCGTTCCCCCCTCTGAATTTTCTACGCCACGTATCTTCCGCCTTACGCGGCAAGCTCAATGCCAAATTGGCGGAGTCCTCTCCCGCCTTCACGCCCAGGCACTTGCGGCGTCGATGCGCCTCACCCTACCACTAAAATCCGCTGTGGCCCCCCATGCTCTCCTCCCAACTAGCCTGTGCCTCACCTACATAGCTCGAAAAGACGTGCGGAGGTATCGAACAATTAGTTTGTGGTGTATGCGTTCGTTGCCATGAATGGCCAACAGTAACGCAGGGCCAACCCGCACCCCGCCGCGTGTCGCAGATCCCGGAGGTCCTCTTCGCGTTGGTAAACCTTTCGCGCCTGAACCTGGCCGGAACGATGCTCGGGCGGGCACAAGGCAAGCAGCTCGAAGCCAGGCTGCGCCTCGACGAGCTCTCCGTTAACGCAGGTGCGGCCGCCGGGCCTGAGGACGCCGATTCGTCCGTGGAGTCCACACCGTCGCAAGGGAAACAGCAGCACCACGGATTCGAGAAAGGAGGGTTTCGAGCTGTGCCCGGGAACAAGCGTGTTAGCCGCCCGACGAGCGTACCGGAGCACCGACTGCCGGAAATTAGAGATAAGGTAAGCGTGTCATGATATTCGGATACCGCGGTTGGACACATGATAATGAGGGCAACAAAATAGCCAGAGGCCTGTGTGTGGCAATTGGTCCATGTTTCCTATTAGATGAGGGTCACTTCTCGAAATCCACCAGCTGGGGAGTGTCTCTTATCGGCAACTGCATCCAAGAGAGCCCTTCTTTGCCGCGAATACCGTTTCGTATCATGGGGCCGCAAAGTGTAGGTAGAACGCACGTACACAGTTAGCACGCCAACATATCTAAAACAACAGTCGTCGTCGCCCCCCTCTCGATGGCTTGCCGCGACACGTTTTATTGGGGGCAGATGCCAGGCTACAGCACCCGAAGACTCCCGGGTCTCGACGTGTTGCCGTCAGATGCCAAAGCGATGATGCGAGCTAAGGCTAGCAAGTCGAGAAGATTCAGCGGCAGCGGCGACGCGGCAAACAGCGGTCCTTCCCTGCCGGGGGCCGGGGGAGCTTCGGGGGCCGGGGGGGGGGGTGCTTCGGGAAGCACCAACACCATGCCGAAGGGGATCGGAACGGCAAGCCGGGTGGTGGCCGCGGCAACCGCATGCGACTGAAGCGGGTGCACGCAGACAAGCCACGACCGCGGTAACAACAATCATTGAAAACAGGGGGGTCAATCTGCCTGGCAAGAGAAAGTACCCCACGAGGGTCGATACCTCGCGTTTTTCTGGCTGTAGAGACGACGCTTGTCTTCAGCGGAAGGGGTTTTCACCCTCGGTGGTCCGGGAGTTTGTATCGCAACATGTTGGTGATAGTAGCAATAAGTGTAGCTGGCAGTTTTTTCGAGGTTCCTGGAAGTCAAGGAACTGCTATTGTCGACTAGAACACATTCGAACGCACTTGAAGCTGGTGCGCTCATTTTATTCAAGACCCGTACTAAAATATCGTAGCAAATGCACGTTGACATCCACAAGCGCCACTGGGGCACGGTCTTCACCCGTCATCTGAGGCCCCCACGTATGGTTTGCTGCCGAGGGATCTTGCTTTCCAGATACATATGTATATGGGAATCCGATTTTTTAAGACTATTTCTCGGCTTTACCGGCGACGATAGTCGAAGTCCGACGCGATCAGGGACGACGACGTGCTCATACCAATCCTCCTTCGTACCCTGTGGCAACAAAATAACAACCGGTGCCGTTCCTCGGAATTGCTTGCCCTCCGCGACTCCGCCAACTACATATGCACTTGCATCGCTGAGAGAGACGGCGGCAATATGGCTGAAGTGGCCTTGAGGATGCTTGGCCTACTTGTATACATAGAATGCGAGAGTTTTTTTTTTTTTCCATTGGGCTTGTGCGCATCAGTCTTGCAAACTTGAGTGCACCATCACAAAACATGACGTCAGACGTGTCAGATGTCGAAGTGCTTGCGTGTTTGGGCTTGGCCAGCGCTAACAATACCCACACGAGCTGTCATCCCCATGCTGCACTGCTCTTCGGCACTCAATTGTGCACTGTGCAATCTGAACACTGCCGCGCTCGGAAGAGGCTTCGGCACTGCTCGCCGCCGCCCCTAAAGGTAGCCACCCGATCGGGGATTGCACAGCATGAGCCATGCAGAACATCGAAGAAGCACGCAACATACAAAACGTTTCTGGCGAGATGAAAGAAGGGTAACAGTACCAACGCCGCTCTCAAGATATCGTGTGGAAGGAAACGCCGTGTGATATGCGCGTGTGGTGGTATCTTGTGATCATACATACAATGAATGCACGTAAAAGTCTTTCTGTGGGGGTATGTTTACTTTCTAAAAAGATCGTTCAACCACATATGATTCGTCATGATATCGGGGTTCCGTGTGTCATTCTTTGCCGCATGGGTATGTGTGCACAACCTGCACTCCGCGGATGTCATGGCTCCATAGCTCCATAGAGTCCTCCGCCAAAACTGCTGCCACCTGTCTCCCCAGCCCACCCGTGAGCCGCGCACACACACCACACTTCATACTGTCACTCTGGGAGACTGAAGGCATCCACGACTTGATGTGAGCAAATCGGAGCGGTTGGGTACACAGGAAGACCAGATACCAGTACATACACCATCGCATTTCTCGAATATGAAGGCTGCACCCGCATTATCCGGGAATGGGTGCTAGTATCGAGTGGTGTTTGCACGACTGAAGCATTCATGACAGAGTGTTCTTTGCGGTCCGCAAATATCGAAACTTGCAACAGCAGAAGCGGCGAAACCTCGTTCCGGCTACAGCAGCACTGTGTCTACCACTACTGTAGGGCGGTTTCCTACAAACACCGGAATTGTGCACAGACGTCACTCCCAAACCCAGAGTTGGAGTGGGAAGGTCCACAGAACTCTGGGAGTAAAATGGTGGCGGGCTTCAACCGCTTTGTAGCAAACCAGACCGAGAGTTTGAGTTGGTCGGCACAACAGCGAATACGCTGTGGTTAAGCTACGCTGGTTTGCAGTTGTGTGGCGATGGGTAGATGGGACTAGGGCCAGTGAGCCCCTTGAGAGCTGCGCGGGCCGGGAGCACCCTATGGCACAAACCCAGTGGGACGGGTGCAAAGCCACAGAAAACGGGGGCACAAACCATGGTGGACCGGGCCTCCGCATTGGTACACCCAAATCTCTTGCTGGAACCCTGCTGCCGAACGAACCAGCTGCTCTCCGAAATGTCCACATTCTGGTCATTTACCATTCACAATCCTACATGTCGTCACAGACTCAATTCCCCGAACTAATTGTCGTAGGGCACATCAAAAGCTGCCTTGCACAAGCTGTCCTGCCGCTGTGATTTTCGATAGACTCGAGGGGGTTCATACGCAAGGAGGTCTGCTCAGTTGGTCACCTCGACGGGAAGGGCCAGCTCGGAGTCGAATGTATGTACAAGTATATTATATCAATGCGAGAGAGAAGGGCACCGAGGCTACCTGTCATTTACCAAAACCAAGATGGATGTACTCACGCGCAATACCCCATTGCCCCGAGATAAGCAGCCACGGGCAGCGGAGATCAATAGTATCGAGACCGGTTCAATTTTCGATCAGTATTGACAACCCAGGAGTGCCAGTTGTAGTTCTGCTCCTACATGATTTGTGTTCGACTCAGCCTACAAGTCTGAGAAGTGATTATATTCTCTTGGTGGGCAGCGTTGTACCTTTGTTTCTCGGGAAACCCCATTGTCACTTTTTTTGTCTGCGGGTGTTGTACGGCTCTTGGTGTTGCTTTTTGTTGGTAGCCTGCAACCCGAGACTCGAAGTTAATATGAATGGCCGGATCCACAGGTCGAACTTCAAGGAGATATCAGCAACGAATTCAGTACTGTTAAGTTGTAATTGCGTCGGGGGGCGTCTGCCCACAGGACCTCTCACCGGCGGCGGTTACCACGATAACAAGAATGAAGCTCAGCCTGAAGACCCCTCGACGAAACGCCATTTCAACCTATCGACCTTCCCCACACGGCCCTCTCCGACCGGTGACTTTTTGTGCTGCAGAAAAGAAAGGGAGGCAATACAGAACTGTCGCACTTGCAGGCGGAAGTGGAACTGGCGGAGAGAAGACCACGGGGCTGCGGGTTGCTACTAAAGCACGGTGGTGCGGCAGGCTTTGACCAAGGTCTTCGGTTTTTCCGAAGGACGGCTGGGCCGCGATGACCAAATACAGTAAAGAGCTCCGGCTTCTTCACCACGTCGAAAAGGGGAGCCTTCAGGGCGCCATTGAAATGCTCAAAGCCGGCGCGAATGCCGATGGTACTAGCGAGGCAGCTACTTCCCCCCTTTTTCTTGCCGCCAACAGAGGTCGAATAGACATCCTTAAACTTCTCATCGACAATGGCGCAGATCTCGACGGAACTTCTTCCCTGGACAAGTTTGCGGATGGCTTCACCGGTAACTTACCGTTCGAGGGGGGCACCACACCGTTGCACGGTGCATTAGCAGGCGAAAACCTCGACGCCCTCCGGCTTCTTCTGCTCGCTGGCGCCGACCCCAACCTCGCCGACGGCAAGGGCTGCACTCCCCTCATGATGACGTGTCTGAAATATTTCCGCGCGAAAAATTACGTTTTGACGGCGGTGCGAGAATTGTTCGACGCAGGCGCTGATCCGAGGGTAGCGGACCTGAAAGGGGAGACTGCGTTGCATGTCGCGGCGACCTTCAATGCACCCGACTTGCTGGGACTGCTCCTGTCACGGGCACCTTCGACGGTGAACTTGCCGAACAAGAAGGGCGTAACCGCGCTCTGCTATGCTGCATCCGAGGGGATGGAGGTCGCCGTGTCGTGTTTGCTGTCTGCAGGGGCGCGTGACAACCCCTCTCTGTTCGCCAACGGAATCGGCTCGCTTCTGATTGCCGTGGAATTGGGCCACGAGCAGGTTGTCCGCGTCCTGCTTGACCGAGGAGTACAGGCGGTCGGAGGCGAGCTCGCGATGTCTTACGCGTTAAGGCGCTCGATTCTGAAGCGCTTCCCGAGAATCCTCCAGATGCTTCTTGACGTTGAGGGAGAACAGAAGCGGGTGAAGTGGGCCAGACTCCGACACACGGACGGCACCCCCGCGCTTCATCTCGCCGCTGCCTGCGAGTCTCTCGTTGCGGCAAGCATTCTCCTCCAAGCAGGCGCAGACGAAGGCACAGCCAACGGACTTGACAAGGGCGCAAGCTGCTGTGTTGGAGCAGCCCTACCGGCCAATAAGAAGAACCCAGATACTTCGGCAGCCGTGTGTCGGCTGCTTGAGCGAGGGCCGGCGTTCCGGGCACGGTCGTGGGCGTGGGCAGCCGAGTCTTCTGAAGCTCCCGCTGCTTCGGGGACGGTTTGTTCCATGAAAGGAGGAAGGGCCACGTTAGATGTCCGCATCTTCCGACCCACGGGCAACCAGTTCTTCTCGGCGCGCTTTTCAAGGTGACTTGGTGCCCTTGGGGGGTTGTCCCTTTGTTTCGAGGTCATGTCACGTGGACAAGGACCTTTTTTCATTTCACCGTTGCCTGTTTTCCGCGAAGACCCGCTGGAGTTTACGAATCAACATAGTTGTTTGCTCGATGGTGTGTCATTGCGTGCCGACAGTGAGCGTATGCCATCGTATGCCAAAGAACATCGTGCCTCATATATATAATTTTGTCCGAGAAAGCACCGGAATTATTGGCCTGGTCATCCTCTCTGTCGTCGGCACCACCGTCGTTCTTTCCGCCCTGCGGTGGGATGCGAGATTGTTGTTACACACCTTAAGCCAACTTTCCCCGTTTACAAAGAGGCCACAAGGCCCTCTCGAGCCGCATACTGATCGCTCCGCGTAGGATTATCGCCGGTCAGATTTAGTGCTGACTGGTGCGAACAGACTGCGATGGATGCATAAAATTTCCACACATGGGTTCCCACGACCTCACACGCCATTCGGTTAGATGCCTAATGTTCTGCCGTCATCGTGGCCCCGAGACTCAACCACAATGAGTTCTTCACTATTGCGGCTTAGTTGAAGGGAAGGGTAGCCGACGGCCCCGGTTGGTCGTCCCTGTGGGAATTCGTTGTGATGTTCACAATGGCTTTGTCAGGGCTGCCTGTGGACTCACGTTTTCTTAATTGTCGCAACGCTCTCGCAATACCTTCCCGTCTTGCAGGTACTGCAAGAAGAGATAGCCTGCGTGAAGATGGGTATACAGTATCAAGATTGTGCGACCTCTAAACTCGGCTGCCGCTGCTTTCTGGATTGAACAGGACGCTTTTGCCAAGAGTCATCGTTATTTTGTTGCGTTTGCCATACAAGGATTGTAGGCAATAGAAGTGATGTATCCACGCGTTCCTATTCTCTTGTCCACTTCCTGTAGGGTCTGACCTGACCAGGTTTCTCCTGGTGGTACAAACTGTACAGGTGGTGTCATCGGTGTTGCCATGTATTCCCTCCAGGGAGCCGTCGTGGTTTCAAGAAGATTGTGTTAGGATTGTGTTAGGCATACGCGGGAGCTTACAAATGTACGCTGGTCGACAGCACTGCGGTCTAGAGTGTTGTGTGCAGCACGGTATGTACTACAAGTATCGCGAAAGTCAAGAGCACCAGTCATCTGTAGGTGTAGAAAAACCACAACATTGAGACTCGAAGAGCAAATAGCGGTGTACGTTGCTATTCCAGATTTTTTTTCCTGGCAGATCACAAGCTTTGCGCGAAAAGGTCAAGCCTCAGGCAAATTTTCATTGTAGTAAGCACTCTGGACTACTGTACTGCACGGATCATGACATGCGAATTGTCACAGCTATGGTACTGGTGTATGCCTGTGATGATGAGCCGTAGAGCGGCGAAGCCGCCATTTTTTCCTGAAGGAAAAGTGGCTCGAACTATCGATCTGTTCCAATAGCGCTGCAGGGGTTCAAGATTTGAATTCGGAAAGCCTAAACAACCCGCCTTTGGGACCCAACCAAGACCCATACGACAACGATTGACGATCTGTTCACTTCTGAGGAAGAAGAAACATAGCGCGTTCTTCGTCACACCGTTTTGGTCGTGCTCCAGCAGAGATGGCCGTGCGTCACAGATTTTTGTGCCCAAATTCGTCGGAGATTCCTCACCCTGTCCCCGGGTATTCCCACATGCACGGGGGAACACAAAACCGGAGATCTGACGCGCGCGCGATTCAAGCCAGGGGAAAAAACAGATAGACAGAGACGCAACACCAGCAAAAAACAAAAACGCATCACCGCTGGGGCGCTGATCCGAGGCCAGCTATGAAAACCAGGAGGGGTCGAGCCTACATTTGTTCTATCTGTGCGCCGTGGCCATAGTTATGCGCAATGTGTAACCTGGCGAGTGTTTACTGATGTTTAATGGGTCTAACGGACTGCTCAATCAAACGGCAGAGCGGTGAGATCTGACACACACAACGTTACATACACCTTTCTGAGTCCAGGGCGCACCTGCCATAGGGAGAAACCGCCGAGGGCGTGAGGGTCTACTGCTGTGTGTTGTCGGGATGGTTGCCCGAGATCGGTTCAGGTTGCAAGTACTTGCGACGCGCTACTAAGTGTCTTCGCAAAGCCGTCTGCCCTGCCTGCTATTGCTGCTGGTGGGCCTTCGCGTCGAATTCATTCATGGCGAAACGAACGCCTTGTGGTTCATTCCAATCCTGCATTGGATTGGTTTCCCTGCTGCGGGAAAAAGTAACCGTAAGAAATCTTGACCGTGTCTTCCTTGATGCGGCCGATGTCTCCCAGCTCGCGACAGCCGCGAGCACGAAATCGCGGCTGTGCCTTCGCGCGACCTTAACCTCGAGACCGTTTCCAAGGAATTTCAATCGAGGCGACACCGGTGCCAAACGCAAGCATGTTGTCTTGCTTCTGTCTTCACCGGCATCCCTTTAGCGTCTTTAGCGTGTCTGCCTTTTTGCTCTTCTTCTTATCCACAGCTGAATTCTCCGAGCTCAACAACGCCACGACGACGAGGTTCGCAGCCCTCGCCAGCACGGCGAGCGTGTCACCTCGCGAGCGAAAAAGTAAAAATAAGTCTACCCCCCCAAGTCAGAGGCGCGGAGGCGCCGCTTTGGTCACCCCTTTTTTCATCACGGCGTTCTCCGCAACCGAGCAAGATACAGCCCCATGCTGGCCGCGGCTCGATGCGCTAGGACAAATAGACGTGCTGCGCAAGTCTCGGAAAGGGCGGTGGCGAGGTGAGCGAAAAAGGCAACGAACACCGTTTCGGCTGGTTTTCGCGCCGCATAGCCCACTTTCAAGCACCTGTCGCGCCCCTCGCACGCCAATATCTACTGCACGGTATTGAGTCGGCTACCCTGCGGCTCATTACCCCGCCCTATCTGTAGTAATGTGGCGTGCCGTCGGGCGTTGTCCATGGACAAGAACATGCCGGCGTCCATCGTATCAGGAAAACATTGCATGGCGTAGGGGGTTGGTTGGATGCACACTGCATAAATCTGCCCGACTTTGACTTTGCACCCCACATGTCGCTGAATGATTTGGGGTTCCTGAACGCGAAGCCACGATAATTGTGCCGCGACGCATTTCTTGCCCGCGTAAGCGGCGTGCACTACAGTGTGCATGGGTCATTCTAGCGAGCATTAACCCGGCTCCAAACGACTAGGTAGACTTTTAGGCATCTTTGGCTGTCTCTACAGCCTCCTTCTTGAATGCAAAATTGCCCAATAGTCTATTGTAGTCTATGCTGTTCTTCTGGCCCCCACGTACTACATTGAACACCTTCACTGGATAATCTCTACGCAGCTCTTAGTTACAGTGGGTTCGAAGCTTGCCGGGGTGATGGTGTCACGTGATGAGCATTCCACCTGTTTTCCACACCTTCTCTAGTCTAGGGGCCATTCGGCGAGGCGGAAGGGCGGAGCAGAACACGGTTTGGTATACGGAATTCGCAAACCAATGGACAGAGACCCATGACATCAGCCCTCGGGCCCAATCAGTATATGTATGACTGCTCGCTGAGGACCCCCTTTGTCACCCCTCTCAAGATGCCTGATGCCTGACTTGCTTCCTGGGAAGGTGTTTCTATCAGGTGTTTGCCTGTGAGACTGCTCATGGTGTCGTTACCTGATTGCTCCTACAGCAGTAGACTACTAGTCTACCTGTATTCTGTGTTTGTACTTAGTTTCCTATTACATAAATTAACGCAGCTCCCGGCAGAACCCGGAGAGAGCCACGCCAGTATGTACGTCAGGTAAATTCTTGGGTAAATGCTTTATATTTTGTCTGAGCCCACTTTTTTTTTAGCGAGCCTGAGCACGACTTCGGCGCACCTGACGGGCGAGGCCGCGAGGCCCAGCGCAAATCTAACGACACCATGACAACGCCTCCCCAAGCGGTACCCGAACCAGCTCTTCAGCGAACCGAACCTTGGGGTTCCGTGAATCAGTGTTGGATTGTTGGATGTTGGGTGGTCGTTGCAGCGTTGCTGCCGTTGCCGCTTATTAGGGCTGGCTCTCACTAGGCACCCGGCGCCTCAACGAGATGTTCTGTTCCCAACGTTTTATGGTGGTGGTAGGTTTGCTGGCTGCACTTCTTGTATTCGCTGGAGTTACTCTACAGGGTAGCTGGAATGTCAAAAGAAGCCTCTCTTTCACGAGTGTTGATCGAAGCGTCGCGTCACACCGTACTGCTTCCGGATCATCAGCCTTTGGCGACGGCAAGAAGGAGATTGGAGAAGTCAACAGCAGCAGCCAACATCGCGGTCTCTTCGATCAGGGTGCTCGCGATGGCCGTGGCGAGCGGAGAGCGCGGCTGGCTTTTCTGATCATGTCCTCGGGGGACGACATCGCCAAGCTGAGCGTCCTTCTGCCCGAGATCTACCACCCGGACAACATCTACCTTGTGCACGTTGACGCGAAAGCCCCGCGAGAGCAGGTGTGTGTGTGCAGGCAGAGAGGAGTCAAAGGCACACGCGCCCAATCAGCATGCTCACAGAGTGAAAAATAGTCGCATCGGTACGGGTGGAGAGTTGAGTTGAGTTTCGACCTGGCGCCCCGCAAGGAAAACGAGAGATTGTCGTGTGCAGGGCAAGCTTCAACCATGAGACTCAACCCCCCTTTGTTCTGCTTACGGGCCCCGTCCTCCTGCTGTGCGAGCGACCCGGCTGCTGCGGGGTTATGCCGAAAGGTGTACAACTATAGACTGGCTCCCGTAGTGAATGGGGCAACAACACAGCACAAGAGTACTCGACAAAACGTTGGTATTTTGTACTTGTGCGGATGGGGCGAAAACACACACGGCACGAACGGTATATCTCGAATGGGTAGTCTTTCTGTGTGTGTTTTTATTATTCCTTCATAAATACTCGACGAACATCGGAATCTTACAGTAATTTTCCGCTGCTGCTGTAGGTTTGAGGGCATCGGGGGCATCTACAGCCGTACACGTAGGAACCCTGCCGTGCAAAAAACTCTTGCTGCTGTAGGCCATCTCAAGCTACCGCCCTGCAACACCGATAAACGACCACCAAACAGCCCCCCCCATGCTGCAACCCTCACCGAATACCTCCTCCCCTCACTTACCCGTCGCCGCTATTCAACAACATTTTCAATCCCTTGATCAACAACGATCGGTCAGACGGAGAAGATTAGGGAGGTGGTCAGGGCTAATTTTCCCGCCGCAGACGGCCGGCCTCCGAACGGCAGGCTGCTGGAGCCTGCGGGCATCGTCTCGTGGGGCGGGTTTTCCATAACGCTGGCTTGCTTGTACGGAATCGCGGCGGCGCTGCTGTGGGACGAGGGGTGGGACTACTTCATCAACCTCAGCACCTCTGACTTCCCGGTTGTGACCCAGGTAGGAGGAGTGTTGTCGTGGTCCATCTAGCATCGTTGAGCGCGGGGAGTGGAATGGCCCATCAGACTCTATTTCCTAGGCTCATTTTGTTTTCGGGAATGCTCATTCGAAACCCTCTTCTCTGCGTCTGGTGTGTTTCTCTGCTGCTGCCGCGGTATTTGCTCGCTTTGCAGTTGCCTTCGGGTTAACTGCCGGTCGTGAAGTACCGTAGGGGCGGTGACAACCGACGTTGTTGTGAAGAGCCCTGTCTTGCCCTTACTAGGCTTGCTTGACGGCCAATGATTTTATTTGTGAACACACAGAAACGCTGTGGGGCGCGATTGGATTGAACATGCTTGCATGTTACAGAAGAGCGCGTCTCGACTTCAACGCTAGTCTCTCGTGCTACCGAACGCCTCAGTGGAAAGACGATACGATGAGGAGCCCAAAGTTCACCAGCGCTGACTTGCATTTTGACGGATACATGCACCTCCTTCGACCTCTCCCTCGGAGTGTTTCTTCTTTGTGTGTGTTTTAAGTAAAGCGCACGTTATCACACTGAATCCAACTACACCCACCCACCTTCTCACGGGACTCCTTTCTTTTGCCTGCCGACTCCACACTTTTTTTCATTGAAAACAACTCCAACTGCCAATTTTTCACTACAAACAGGACGAAATGACCCTGTTCTTGGGGGAGCACGCCGACGCCGGGGTTAGCTTCATGGACGGGGAGCTTATGACTGGCTTCGAGAAACGGTGGCAGGTGACACGATTTCTGTGCGCGTCACTCAAAGTGGAGGGCGGGGGGGAGTGTTAGTGCAACGTTCACTTCACGATTGCCGTGGCCGCTTTTATGTATACGGAATGCCATCCTGGCTGCTGCTGCTGCTGCTGCTGCTGCTGGCAGTCTTCCGAAGCGTTGTGGAGTCAGCGGTGCAGTTCACGACCCGTCAGCGGTTCAGAAATTCCGTAGAGACCCCCCCCCCCCCATATCATCTCTCGAGGACGCCTATTATAGTCAACGGTCGAACCCCTAAGGCACTCAAAACAAGAGTACCGTAAGAGTCGGAGAGATGACACCCCCGTGTTAGCGTTTGTTTGTAGCGTATTTCTCCACAAGTAGGAGGGTGCGAACACCAACCGATACCTCTCAGGAAAGCCCTCGACGAGATGTTTCCAAAACTACCCTTTTCGGCAGTGGTACCCCCCCGTGTTGTGTGGTTGTGGAGAAATACGCTATACAAAAACGCTACCACGGGGGTGCCATCTCTCCGACTCTTTCGGTACCTCTCCGAAACGGTGGCTGTACTGGGGAATAGGAAGTGGTTTGAAAAGGCAAGTGGTATCGATAGGATAGATGGACTAGGGAAGACACTTTTGAGCCACCTTTGGCAAAGTAGGAAGGAACGATTGGCCATCGGTGATCGGTCTTGTGGGAACAATGCTCCGTCCTCTCGAGGACGCGTGGGCAATGCTCTTACCGCTAAGGCATGCGAAACATGAGTACCCCCCCTCCTCCGAAACCCCCGTTACTCTGTCAGGGATACACCGAAGACCAGGGGCTGCAGCGGCGCGCGGATCACCACACGTCGGTGGCGATGCAGACGCTGGGGCGGATACAGCGGGCGTACCCGCAGCGGTTCCGGCTGTACAAGGGAGAGTTCTGGGGAGCGTTCCACCGATCATTCTGCGAGTACGCGTCGTGGTCGCCGGACAACGTGGCGAGGACCCTGTCGGCGTACTTCACGGGGTACCGCATCTCAGACGAGAGCTACTTCCAGACCCTGGCGTGCCACCCAGAGGTGAGGGGAGGAGGGGGGAGGGGGGGGGGTGAGCCCGCCCGCGAAGTGGGGTGCCAGCAGACATGCTTCTTGCTACCTAAAGTTCGGTCGAAACCTCGGGGGCGAGGAGGGGTACTCATAGCCGTACATGCCACGATTAGATAGTTGACCTCGCATCCCTACAAAGCCGGGACCGAGCACGCTGGGTTCTCGCCGGACCAGGCTTGCATATCACCAAGCGACGGGAGGGGGGAGGGCTACACCTTATCTACTGCTGTGATCTGCTGTGATCTCGCGAGGTCTGGTTGCCATCCCGGAACAACAAGGGGGGATGCTAGTTTTCTATCGCCGATGGGGCCTCCAGTTCTGATTCTCGTAGGCCCAAACTGCGATGCGGTGCTAACTCGTAGGCCCGCGTTTCCCGTGGAACCACCGCGTGTCCGATCCGATCCCAATCGCAGGGCAAGGTGTTCCCAATACATGGCGATAATTTTCGCTTCACCAGCTGGAACGAGCACCACAGGGACAGCCACGGCCGAAAGATCGATGCCAACGGGCATATCCTCATCCACCCGGAGCCTCTGGCAATCGCTAGCGTCGACAAAATTATGGCAAGTGTTACTGGTGCCGCTTGTTTGGAGGGGGGAGGGGGGGGGGGGTGAGGTAGTCGTGGCCGTATGTGTCGTTGTGGCGGGGGGGGACATGAGCGTGATTGGTGTGTCCTGAGTTCTTGTATGCATAGAAAGGCGTTGGTGGCGCTGCGTGAAAAAGCCCCCTGTCTTCCACGAGACACTCCGTGCTTGAAGGTTCTGACGTTCGTCGTGACCCTGCGCGTCTGTTTGCCCTGCTGCTGCTGCTGCTGCTGCTTCTGGGGCCGCAGTCCAGCGGCGCATTGTTCGCCCGCAAGTTCGACTACGCCAAGAGCTACCGAGTCTACCAAGCCATGCAGGACGACCTGCGAAATCGGGACAGGTCCGCCGCGCGGCTGGATCGCGCCCGCGCACGGTTCGGGCTGAGAGCTAGTGACAAGGGGGGACGCGATGATTTCTGCCGAGGGGGGTACAACTCGTTCCGCAGAAGAACGGAGGAGAAGCGGAACGAAGGAGGTGGCGGTGTTGGTGCGGCAGTTCCCCGCTGACATGGTGGGTGCGTACAGTTTGTTTCACCTCGAGTGCGAGAGAGAGGTTCGCATAGTAAAAGGAAAGTGGACCCCGCAGCACCCGTATTTGTAGTTGAAGTTGTGATTTAAAAATACGGGGTGCTGCTTGCCTGGGTGGTGCCGGAAAGGCGCATCCCGCTTGGTGTGGCATGTATGTACGATGTTTTTTTGTGGAAATAGGTTCTGGTTAGGGGATCCAGTGGGCACATTTGGCGATGCCTATTGCTGCAACAGAAGTTTGTCCGCTGGTGTGAGTGAGAGGTCTCAGTAGCAGCACCTCATGTAGAGCCCGCTCGATCTCTTCCCTGATGTCAAGGTGTCGGTGTGGTCTGGCGCGAATGGTAGTGCGAGCATCGTGCCCCGGTGTTTGGGGCTAGAAATGCCGCACGATGGTCTGTCGATGTTGAATGTGCGCGGCTTGAACTAGTGCGTTTTTTCACTGTTTTTTGCAGCTCTACGTCAGTCTAGAAATGCCGGACGATGGTCTGTCGATGTTTAATGTGCGCGGCTTGAACTGGTGCGTTTTTTCACTGTTTTTTGCAGCTCTATGTCAGTCTAGAAATGCCGGACGATGGTCTGTCGATGTTTAATGTGCGCGGCTTGAACTGGTGCGTTTTTTCACTGTTTTTTGCAGCTCTTCGTCAGCTTTTTGCGGGCTTTCTGTGCCTTTAACTGTTGTACATTTGTGCCCACCAGTATTGCGGCCGGCACCGCTGCTACTGCTGCTGCTGCTGCTGCTGCTATGCGTACGCGCCGGGAATGGTGATGGTGCAGGACGGGGAAAGGTGTGCGTGGTGTCGTCGTTTGCGCTAAATAGACGTTTCGATCTGTTTCACTAACAATTGTGCTAGAATCTGCACATCTTGTATGGTAATTTGTCTCGTGGCAAGGTTTTTGTTGGAACACGCCCTGCGTGTGGGGCGGGGTCTTAAGTATTAGCGTCGACCGCGCTAACCGGGCGACCAATGAAAAGACGTCGGTCTGCGTGCCGCTGAAAACACAAAATGCGTCTGTGTGTATGTCGAAGTACCTAGTTTGGAGTGTTTGAAGTTGGATGTCTTGCAGGACAGCAAAGGGTTGTAGCCTTTTTCTCAGTTTGTTTCGACGGCCGGCCAACAACGCCGCGCAGCTGGGCTGCTGCGCTATGGAGAAACTCGTTACTTCCCAACTCTGTTTAGAAGGTAAGTAGAAAACTAGTACTTCACAGCGATTAGCCCCTCAATTGTTTCTCACCCACACATAGCGTAGTGTGTTTTTACGACAGTAGCGGATGAGCTATTGAGTCGAGTTTTTTTCCGTGTGGTGAGACTGTGTTGAGAGGGAGAAAACGGCGGTCACCGAGTTCGCATTTTCCAAGTGATACCCAGCTACAAGCAATGTCGACGGTAAGCATTGGACGGCAAGTATTGCTGGCCAGCCCACACAGCGCGCCGCGTGAAGTGATAAGGGGGGGCGTTGGTTCTGGGGAGGCGTAAGTTCTCTGGGAGAAAGGTGCTGGACTACGGTGCCTCGAGACCATGCGCCGGGAAGCCGCAATCTGCGGCAGAGTTGCTCCCCGAAGGGGCCGCGCACAGGTAGTCTTGCAAAATTATTAAGATCATTAATTTACGCCTCAGTTCGCGCCCCGATGGAAAATTGATGAAATAGGAGTTTCGTTGTTCGGCTGGGGGAGTACTAAAGGGCTCTCGTCTGTACTTTGTACTTGTGACAAACCATTGGTAGGAAAGTATTTGTCGACGATGCGGGGGTGTCGGCTCCTTGGTGTATTCGAGTATTTCACGTGCACCTGATTGTTTGTCTCGCTTGTCCAAGGTGTTCCCGTGTTTTCGGCCACGTAGTTGTTCAGGGCACAACATCACATCACTCTCGTTATCAGAATCTATGTAAATGCTCGGTTTTTATGTACTCCGAGCTGACTGTTGCTGTCCAATGTAGATTTCCATGTAGTTTTTATGAGTGGAACAATCTGTTTCAGTATTTCGCGCTGGCAGATCGATTGCGTGGGGGACTGCTGTGTTGTGGTTTTTCCGGCATCGACAGCGCCGAACGGCGACTGATTTGACGTCGTGGTACGCTTGCGAAACCTTGCAAAAAACAACTGTCTGGCCTTCAAGGCAACCACCGCAGAAACGTAGAGAATGCAACTACAGCAGGCACTCCCTGTGTGACCACGGCTGGTGAATCCAGAATTGTACCGAAAGGTGGAAGGACCGACGTCTACAGAAAAATGGGGATGACAACAAATATAAAGTCTTCCGGCTCCCCGTGTTAGTCTATGTTTGTGATCGGCGAGCTATCGATCCCTCTCACGCATCACGCGCACGCTGACAAACATGGATGAGCTGCGCTCGGACAAGACATCTTTCGCAGCGAAACTTTGGCGACATGAATCAAAACAAGAACATATGAACTAAGAACGTTGGAACACATGCATCCGTTCGATATGTGGGGCGATCACCTCGAACCGGTGCATAGTCTTTTTCTGTGATTGTAGGGTTCCTCTGCATGCATGCGCAGCACGCGCAAAACGATCTCTCTGGTAGCACGGCGAACAGAGAACGCGTTAGCTTCGAGATGGCGCAAATCAGAGCAAAAGGGAGGTGAGGACAGATCAGCTGAGAGGAACTAGAAGATAAGAGCGAGAGGCGGAGAACAGAGGGAGCGAGAAGATCACCATCATCGCTCGAATCTGTGCCGTCCGATTTACATGGAAGTAATTTCGTTATGTTGATCAGTCCATCGCGACAAAAAAAAAATGTACCCCTCCCATCCTCATCATCACCGAACAACAAAACATGGAACTCCAGCCGCCCTACAGGTCCTCCCAACAGCAGAGAACCATCATAACATAACATCACGTAAGCACGACAGCAACCACCTCGTCGCCATCACCACGCGTACACAGGGACGGATGTACTTTCTGCGCACCTCCACACAAGGATGGGAGGACCAAGAAAAAAAAACACAAGCTGCACTGTCAGCAGAACACCCACCACATTTTGTTGTTTTCGTTTTGGTCGGCAAAGTTAGACCGCACGCAGATCCTCTGCTGTTGTACTTTTCCAAACGCTGCTGCTGCTGCTGCTGCTGCTGCTGCTGCTGCTGGGGAACCCTTAGTGGGGCATCCGAAAAGGACTTTCGACGGCGATACCTCCGACACATAGGACAGTCATGTTTTGCGATCAGCTAGGACAGCCTCCCGCGCCAATAAAAACGCCTATCGAAACTGTGGCAAAACCTCAGGTTAGACGAGCCTCTCCCCTCCTCCCCTCCCCGCGAAGTCTTTACTTCCCTCCCAACACTGCTGCAACACGACACAACAACAGCAGTACCCTCATCCGCGGCGTAGATTTCACCGCGCTCCTCTTGCTTCTGCTACTGCTGCTGCTGCTGCTGCTGCTGCTCTTCCTCCAGAAAGCACACTGAGTGTTTTTTCTCCGCTCCTGATGATGCTGCTGCTGCTGATGATGATGATGCTGGTGCTAGCTGTCACGCGTTGCACAGCTGTGCTTACTTCTTCGAGTCGTCCCCTTCCTTCTTGTCCTCCTCCCCTTCCTTCTTGGCCTCGCTCCCGTCACCCCCGCCGGCTTGGAGGCGAGGGTCTTTCGGGTCTAAGTTTGGGATCTGTCGCGATACATCCCCGACGATGAGACACACACATACACACGCACGATGAGAATTTGGTGCCAGAAAAAGGCGGTGTTGGAAAACGGGCCGCGTGGGAGAAGAGGTAGACATAACAGGGGGATAGACAGATCGTGAGAGCCTCTTTCCTTGCGGGATGTTGGGTGGAGTGTGATCTCCGAGACTGAGAGAGGGAGGAACATCTGCCTAGGACAAACCCCGACCCTGACATTAGAAGTATCTGCTTGTGTTGAATTGCGCAAACGCTCGTTCGCGGCCATGTCGGAAAAGTGAGCTGTGGCGTAAAGACCTAACGCGTCTCGTGTGTGAACGCTGGACGTTCTTGTTCTTTGAAACCAGAAAAAAAAACGACGTTGCATTGGTCGTCTGTTGCTCTACGGACTAGGCACGAGTGTGCAGCGCAGCATGCCATGTTAAAGGCACATCAGATGTATGTTGCAGTCGTGAAATGTGATGAGGTTCTACAAATAAAACATACTTCCAAAGTACATACGTTTTCACAGTCTGTCGTCTACAAGGATATAGACTGCGCTTGTCGTACACACAATTACTGGAGACAAGAACCCGTCAAAACGTCCTGTGCAACACGCACACACACCCACCCTTACGGGAAGGGCCCCAGATCACGGCCTTTAGAAAGCATCTTCTGTGTTCAACCGCACTGAGACTGACGTAATTTCGTTGATTTAGCCGGTAATGTAGCAGGGTCGATGCTAACGGAGTAGTCAACACACACACACACAAACATGCACTTCCCGTTCCCCCTCGAGACAAAAAACCTCAAGCAGTTCTCTCACCTGGTCCAAAAGGGACTGTACAAACGAGGGATCGAAAAATTCTCCCGCCCCTGCTGCGCCTCCTCCTCCGTCCCCCCCCGCCGGGGCCGGAGGAGGGTTTGCGCTGGCGCCGCTGGAGGCCGGGGGGGGGGTAGGGGCTGGGGGTTGCGCCGCGGCCGCCGCCGTCGTTGTCGTTGCCGTTGTTGACGATGCTGGTGGATCGCTCGTGTCCGGCACCATGCTCATTTCCATGGCGATCTGGGGGCCGCAAGAAAACACGTCATGCGTTTGCATTCCCAGCACACACGTTGTAAGGCAATGGTGTTTTCGTCGCAAACGGCGGCGGTGTTACATCATTTTCATCTCAATTGACCACGCTTTTTTTTTTTTCCGGCAACAAGGCTTACGCGGGTGGAGGGAGGCGCGATGACATAAAAAAAAAAATGAACGAGAGCGGATGCATGCGAGTACTGTACACCCTTGATCCAGACGGAGATGCGGAGCGGGGCAACCTGTTCCATGGCAACGGGCACGGGGACGCCATCTCCACGGTTTTCTCCAAAACACCATCTCTTTCACGGACTAACCGCCTATTCCCACGGTAACAGGCACGTTGACACCCTCTCCACCGTTTTTCTCCAAAACACCCATCTTCTTTACGGACTAAATCTCCAAACACGTGTGGTCCGACACGTGCCCGCAAAGTATTTCCGCTCCGTTCCCGAAAAACAAAAAACGCAGCCTCTCCTCCTCAACCCTCCCGCACGCTTCTCGCGCGGCGTGGCAAGGACAAGGACGTGGATGGAGAGACCGGACCAGCCACAAAACACACGGACCTTGTGTTCGTTCGTTTTGATCGTTTGTTTTTGACGCACCAAACACCAAGAGACAACAAACTCTATCAGTGCCTGCATAGACGTTCCTTCCCACGATAAGCACGTGACTCAATTTCTCTTTGGCCTACACCGCCTCCTCTCCACCGCAAACCAACAAAGCCAAACATCTGTTTCTTTCAGGAAGGACTCACCCGCATGTTCTCGGCCTCGTCTCCTTCCATCATAGACATCTCCAGGGCTTGCGCCAGCAGAGTTCCGTCGTCGTCATCGGCATCTACCTGTTATTGGGGGAGGGGAGGGCAAGGTATAGAGACCGAGCACACGCGGGATCACGCGATACAATAGCATCAGCAACGGTAGAATAGGAGACATCAGCCGCAATGATGGACGCATGACTCGTTCAGGCCTCTATTTAGCACACACACGTCATCACACACACATGATATGACATTGTTCTTACTAACTACAGATCACGCGGTTCACTTCACTCCCATACGATCTACATCGACGATTTTGGAAGGATGGGCAAGCTCCGCGCGCAGGACAGTCAGCGCAAAACGAAACGGCACATGTCGAAACGGACATGTCTCGCCGCAAGAAGACAATTCCTGCAAGCACAACACCTGCTGTGTGGAGACGGCCAAGAAGCTCGTGCTCACAAAACACACAAATTGTACATGAAAAAAAATAGTTGCCTTGGCATCGCGCGTCGCTCCTCTATCGCTCCACCGTCACTCCCTGCTCTGCTTAACTTTTGTTCGTTAAAACATACGTACTATTCTTTTTAAGTTGTTGTATGAATTCAATTATCAAGCCTTGAACTCTTGTAGTCACTCCCGTTCACCCCCATCTTTTTCCACGACTCGCCGCCCACCCTACGGCATTGGTTGCCTGGCTTCTGCCAACGAGACTTGTGTTCGGTACGGGGTCGTACAAAACTCGAATACAAAAAAACAATTCGTCAGCAATCTCTTGCTCCGCTAGGGTCCTAAGAACGGAAGATAGCGGTTCCTGACTACGCCACGAACCTGCATAGCGGTGGCCGCCCCCGCAGCGTCGCCGCCTTCCGCCCCCTTCCCCTCCTCCGCAGACCTTGCCGCTTCCTCGCCAGAGCCGGCAGCTGCAGCAGCAGCAGCTGGTTCGCCCTCCTCCGCCGCCGGAGCCGCGTCTGCCGCTGCCGCCCCTTCCTGTTCGGCGGTGGCCTTGGAAGCGGCCTCCTGTCTAGCCCTCTCCTCCTCCATCGAGACTCGCAGGGCCATCGCGAGCTCTGGGTCCATGCTAGGGTCCACACCTGCCAGAAAAAGGTATAGTAGATACCACGTTGTCTTTTTGTTAAGCTTGCTGCAACCGTTTGTGAGTGGATGTATTATTATTATTTTTTTTCTCATGAAACAAAGAGTGGCAGCGCCATCGCGAGCTCGGGGTCCATGCTGGGGTCCACCAAGAAAGGTACAGCAGTAGATACCACGTTGTCATTTTGTAAAGGTTGTTGCAACCGTTCTTTTTTTTTACTCATAACACGACAAATCAATCTCTCTCTCTCTCTCTCTCTCTCTCACCGCCAAAGTCGGCGGCCCCGCCGAACTCCCCGCCTCCCCCGGCGGCCAGGCCACCGCCGCCCCCGCCCCCGCCCCCACCGCCCCCGCCGCCTTCGCTGACGATGGGTGAGGAGATGAGGACGTCGGACGGAAGAACGCCTGCCGGGATGGTCACGAGGTGGCAGTTGTCCCCGGAGTTCGCCGCACCAATGAACTCCTCAAGCTTCTCCTGTTCACACACAGGGCGGGAACGTCGACGTTGGTGTCGTTATTTAGATTAACGCTCACTTTGCTGTCCTAGCATTAGGGTTAGGGTTAGGGTTAGGGTTAGGGTTAGATTAGGGTTGGGGTTAGGAGCTCCAATCCACGGTCACGCAGGAGGGGTAGTCCCCCTTCCCGGTGCCTTTTGTGACGTTAGTGCTGATGGTAATAAAACTCATGTTGTCGTGGAGGATGGTGCCTGTCGTTTTGTGTTCGGATATCTTCCGTCGACGAAACACAAGCTGCTAACGAGAGCATGCTGTGCGTGCGTACGACAACGAGGAGGGGAGTACGACAACACAGCAGCAGAAAGCGGCCGGCCGCAAGGTGATGAACAGTGGAAGCGGGCAAAAACGCAAAATGGTCGTAATGAGCGCGAGGGAAGGCCAAGCAAGCACAGCAGTCTCTCGATTGCCACCTGTGTTTCATCGCCGAAAAGCACCGCAGGCCCTCATCTGCCACTTGTGATTCACTGACGAAAAGCACCCGAAACCAAACAGACAGTCAGCATCATCAACGACAACAACTTCCGAATCCAAAACAAATGATTTATCAGCATAAACTCATGATTGGTGGTGGTGTCCTTTTCTGACGTTAGCGTTCCTTGCCAGGTATTTTCTGGCTCCTTTAGCAGCGCCGTCTCTTGACGATCAGTTATTTTCAATGAAGAGCAGTAAATATCACAAGGTGATCCCTCGGGAGTGGGCCCACGAGAGCACAGAAGCGTCAACAAGGGGTGATGCAAGAAAGATGAAAAAAAAAAAGGCAGCGGGCCTAACTTACAGCTGGCTTGCCAGCTGTGACGTTCCCCAAGCTCAAACAGCTGACGTGTTTCTGACTCGCACAGCCCAGTCAACCCCAACGAACCAACAACAAAAAATCCGTACACAGTCTGAAGACCGAAATGCTGTTCCATGGAGACGGAGCAAGGGAATGCCAAAAAAAAATATCGAAACTTAGTGCAGTTTTCTTCTGTTGCTACCGTATCCGTCTCTATAACCCGGAGAGTAGAGTAGCCTCCCCTACGACGCCCACTCAAGGGGTCCCAGATCATGGTCTCTAGAAACATTTTTCGTTTTCAACCGCGCTGAGACTGACGTGTTTTCATTCGTCAGCGGATAGCGCGGCCGATGCCAACAATAAAAAATACACCCACACACGCACACGCACACATGATGACGTGAATCATCCCGCCATAAGACCGGCGCATTTTCGTTGGTCAGGTGGTCCGCGACGTCGGTGTTAGCTCTAAAACACTCCCACAACCACAGAAAACACTCCCTGGACAACCGCCAGGGTTTCAGGCCAGCGCACTTGGTTGTCGTCAGTCTCCCCCATGGAGACAACGTCCGCAGCCACGTTGTTCTTCTTGAGCATCTTGCCCACCTTCACCAGCGTCTTCGTCTGGACAGCGAGGCAACAGCAGAGACGAAATCGGTAACTGTGCCAGTGGCGATCGTTTGGTTGTGTTCCATCTTCTATGTCACGGGGGTGCTCTACATCCGAGAAAGAACAAATCGTGCTGCATTACAGGTTCCGTACAGAAGTGGTTCCGGTACAATTGCCGGTTGAATAGTGCCGGTTGAATAGTGCCGGTTCCCCGTGTACAAAGCCGGTGACATCGTCTGGGACAGATGGGACATTCAAGTTGTCCAATACTCCGAACAGTGCCGGTTGCCCGCTATAATGCCGGCGATATCGTCTGTCACAGATGGATGTATTCAAGTTGTTTCATACTCTGAACAATGAAGGCTGCCCGCGAGATTGTCGGCATCAAACAGCTGGATCGCACCGGCAATATACTGCGACACCTACTGTACTAGTAATGCACGCTTCACGACAGGGCTTCTGGCGGGAAGGGGTTTTCAGAGAGCGTGTCCAGCACAAGATTGAAACTATCGTCTGCCTTTTTTTCGTGAAAGAAACGAAAGGTCATTCAACGGGTTTGGACGAGAGGCGAGTGCCGTCCATCGGGGGGGGGGAGGGTACGTGCCTCGCCCTCGGCTGACGCTGCCGCACAACAAGTATCTCACGGAAGACAGAAAAGCTGGTCCTGGCACATTCCATCTATTTACGGTAATTTTCGATGGATCAACCCAATCTCAGAGTGACGGGAGAGCGGGACAGTTAGAACGAAAGAGGTATATTGGAGAAAGAGAGAGTATGATAGACAAGCAGACAGACAGACAGACAGGCAGGTGAAACAACACGCACAAGCGGGGACGCCGCCACCATACATCCATCCCACCTCGTCCTCGATAGGAGACGACACGAAGATGATGATCCTCTGCCCCCCGTGCTTGTTACGACGGTGCTTGAGGGCGAGCTGGGCGATCTGGATGCCCGCCGCGAAGTTGGTCTTGCCGTGGACGGACACGCCGTGGAGGGAGGACAGGATCTTGCCCATGTCGTCGGTGGGGCTGACCAGGAGCTCGGGGCCCTTCCCGGCCATGGTGAGAACGCCGACCTGTGCATGGGTTCGTTGTCGTGGTTGCACAAAAATGAAGGGGGAAACAAAGAAACGGGTTCTCACAGGAACGAAAAAAATGAGAAAAAAAAAAATCACGAAAATGAGAAAAAAAGAATGAGCGAGTCACATCAAGGGTAAGTGTACTTACTCACTACTGCTGTAGGTGTTGGACCATGGACGGACGACCTCGCATCCCTACAACGCCGGGATCACGGGGCGCAATGCTGGCCCATCCAACGTTTCACAAGGATGAAGAAGCTGAAGCTGGTCAGGAAGGGGGGTGGGGGGGGTCCATCTGTTGCTCAACACAGCCAAAATTGTAAGTATTGTACAGAGAAGAAGGTGTGGTGCGTACTCATTCGGCTTGCCAGCAAATCGTGTTGGTGTAACCTCCATGTTGGGGGCTTCCCTCACCCCGAAACCCCTCCCAGATCGCTTATCTCACCGTGCTCTCCGGGTTGGAGTTGGTCTTGCTGCCGCAGAGAAGGTTGGCTGCGTCGTGTTGTGCCTCCATCCGGGTGGGGATGTAGTCTCCATTTCTCATCCACTCAGAGTTGTCGAGGCTGAAGCAAAAACAAAGATAGCAACGCGATACACGGTCAATCTCATGTTGTGCATGCACACAGCAGTAGTACCACTACAGTAGTGGGCCCTCAATAGTGCTGGTTGAATAGTACTACAGTCAGGTAAAGCGCCGGTCAAATCTCAGGACACGAGTGTCCACTCCCATACTAAAACCTATATATTCAAATATCCGTGAATAGTTCCGGTGGCACGGCATAGTGCCGCGCGGTAAAATTTCTGGACATACCGGCACTTACAGGGCCCACTACTGTATAGGTAACGGAACGAGGGCTGAGATGGTACAGTCATGCGCGTGGCGAAGTCTGACACGAACGAGCAATGCATGAAGCTCTCGGCCGGAGGAAGGCCATGAGGGTCAACGATGTGACCGGCTGGGTTGTTCTTCAAGCGTTTCACACACGACAACTGACGACGACTGCTGCTGTTGGTCGCGGGCTTCACGAAAAAAAAAACGGGACAAGACCACACTCAGTATTGTACGTACGTCTTCGCGTCCAAGTACTTCACGCCGAACAACGGCGGCATGCAGCTGTTGGGAGGGTTATGTCTTGGTACATGGCTGCTCTTGCTGCTGTAGCAGGTTGCCGCTGTAGAAGTTAGGGTTAGGGTTAGGCGGGTTACGACAGATTTGGCGTTGTGACAAATGTCGGTCCTAGAGCCACTGAGCGTACCTCTCCTCTGCGTTCACGCCGAACAACGGCGACATGCTGTAGTTGGAGGGTAACTGTGTGAGGGGGACAAACGGAACTCAGTAGATACCCTGCTCGTGCTGCTGCTGAGCAGTTCGTTGCAATAAAAAGATGTAGAGGGTGATGAGTGAGCGACATGGCGTCGTCATGACGTCGGTCCGTCCGAGCCATAGCTTGGGCACGCGGCTGACGAGCTTGGCTTGTGTGCGGTGTCACGCTTCGAGTGCTATGTAGTCGACGGCGCTCGCTTGCCGCATCCGATCTACGGTAACAACACCACACATTCCTTCGCCCGCGCGAGGCTCTCACCCCCGTCCACTACTGTACACCACACTGGAGACGGGGCCGAGCCGAACGAAAGACTCAAGGGAGCACTCTAGGCAGTGACTTGCGGACGATTGGGATTTTGTCGCTGTCTTCAGTGCGCGTGGGTGGAAGGCGCTGAGTTCTAAATACAGAGGTCGAGAATCAGGGCCCGGGGGGAGGTTGCAGGACCTGCGCTGAAAACTATCTACAGATCTGCGCATGGTAGCGTGTGTTATTCGAGATGATGCGAGCATCACAAGAACAACAATTATCTTCCAGCAACGGGTCAAGGACTTCAGCTTCTGTGGCACGTGTGCTGTACAGCAGTATACATGTATACTACGGAATACTGTTTGGGAGCCCAAGCCTTACCGTTACTCAAGAGGCACCCCGGGGGGGATCAACGACAACGATCGTAGACTCTGTAGTGTTGTTTGCGTTGTAACAACAAACAAAAAACACCATCGTCAAGTTCAACCCCCTCCATCACCAGCACGACTAACTACTCACCATATCATTGTGCTTTCGAGAGGCATCTTGGCTCTTTTGGTGCTGCCTCCGCTGCTACCGCTGCTACCGCTGCTGCTGCTGAATGTTCTCCGACGTTCTCCCAAACAAAAGCCACGCGTCTCCTTGAAATGCTGCGCTTGCTCTCCCGAATCCTTGGGCTACGCAGAGCAATAGCGCAGTCGAAGCTGGGAACCCCGTTCTCTGTACCCTCGCTAGAGGTTGCCGGCCTCAATGCCTGAGCGCGCGTTGGTTGTGTTGCTGCACACACACAGCAGCATCTGTCGATAGTGCGCCAGGAGCCCCGCGATTTCGATATCACAACTACGAGGGATGTGCCTGTCGCTCGCGGAGCCTCTGCGGCCACCGAGGTTGGAGGTTGGCCATCCGTGGGTCAGTGACTGCACATGTGTACTGCTATCTATCGTGTACGCGTGGCTGTGTTCTTGGATATGAATAGCAGCGTTATTTCAGCCATGTGTGTGTGCCCTGCCAGCCCCGGCTGCAACGAACAACACAAACTCGAACACAACGACCGGTAACACGAGCACTAACTTGCACGAAATTATGTTTTTCACAGTAAAAACGAAGAAAATAGTCTAGAATACCTCACAGGGAGTACAAAAAGAGTAAAGCGGGGGCAGCGGGAGTCTGCGCAAAGTTCGCCGGAATATTCCTGTCGTGGGCCGAATAAATTTTGGCCATTCATGTGTGCGCGCATGAAGTACACCAGGCACATGCAAATGCGAAGGTGTACCGATTCTGGTAAAAGTCAATCGACGGATACCCTGCGAATCGGGTCCTCCTTAACACTCTCCACCCACAGAATTTACCCTCAACTGGGAACCTCTTGTGGCCAGGACGGGTAATTCGATGGAAGTGTCACAAGGTTCTTTATAGGATCGATTCCAAGAGGTGTTCTCAGGACTGACACACATTGTGTCCATGGGAAAATGTTCAAGTCAGGAGAAAAAACGTGCACCCAAGGAGATTCGAACCAGTATCCAGCTGACGCCATATGCGAAGGTGTACCGATTCTGGTAAAAGTCAATCGACGGATACCCTGCGAATCGGGTCCTCCTTAACACAAAGTCAGTCACATATTACAGCAAGCGCCAATTAAGTTCTTGATCGGGTTGCGTTCGGTGGGCTAGAAAAAATGTGGAAGCCATTTACTACACACGAAGGCAATTTTGCCATTCCCGCTTGCTTACGTGCTGTCATGATCAAGATCGAAGAGGGCCTGCTCACCTTGATATTGTGCGTTACAGAAATTGAGCGTAAAAAATAAATAAGAACTTGTTGTTGAGCACCATTTGCAGCCCTAACCCTCATACTAAAACCTATATAGCGCCCATTCGTAGCATGACCCTAGGCATACAGTAAGAACCCCATCCTCAGTCAAAACTATAAGACTAATTTGTTGTTTTGCTTTTGCGGTGGCGTTCTGTACAAAACACTTGTTGACGTACGTGTAAATTTTCGGTCTCTCTCCACGAAAGCAACCAAGAACCAAAATACCGCCGCAGCAGTAGTCTACAGCAGTAGTCGAGGAATACTGGACTCTTGGTTGGCGTCGTCTTAAGCATAAATACCGATACAGCAACAACAGCACCACAGCAATAGCCAAACCGCAAGCAGCGCATGCGTGCATGAGTGGATAAGTTCAACAATTATTAGGACCCCAAAAATACTACACTTCCTCCCACGAAAAGCAATCGGTAGGTTTCTGCCCCCCACCCACCCACCCTCCAAAACTCAAAACCCACACAAGATGGACAATAAGGAGCACGAATCAATCTGGGAATGAAATCAATACACATCCCATTCGAAGAGAAGCTTCTATTTCAAGCCAGACGGCTCCTGGTTATTGGTGTCGCTCAAAGCCGTCCAGCGGCTACGCGATCGACAGCGACGCCGCAAAAAAACAAATCACACTTGCCTCTGCATTTCTTTGTTGAGCCAAAAGCACGAAAACACAAGCACTACATCGCCCATCAAACAACGAAAGATAAAGATACACACGAAAGAGCAGAAGTCGGTCCCCTCTCCCCCCACTTCCGAACACGCTTCGGCTTAAGGTCAGAGATTAGATTCCCATCTTCCTCGCCGAGGAGGCCGACGAAGTGCCATGCGGTCAACACCCTCCCTCAACGTGGTGGACAATGTTGGGCAGTGGCTACGACAGAGTCGAGAAAGAAACGTACAACTTCTTCCATGGCCATCATCAATGCAAAAGGCATGCCAAGGCGTACAGCAGTGGCGACCACAGCCTCACCGAGCGTCGCCCTTGCCAAAAAAAAAAAACACACACACACAACAATCTCCACCTCTCTTGTCTGCCACCAAGCGGTCCACGCCGCTCGACTGCTTCAGCAATCTAACTTCGCTGTGGTTGCCACAACCTTGCCTCCATCTATCCCAGAAGCCTCATATCGCGATCGTGATGGGTCGCAAGAAGAACGCCACCACGTCCCTGTCGCCGCGCACACTCTTGAGTTTGATTGGTGGAGCAATCACAGCAGCTGCGGCCAGCTCTTGCGCGTTGCAGAAGGTCATGCTCATTGGAGCAACAGCTAGCGACTCGCCTTCTAGCATGCGCACATGGGAAAAGAGCAACCGTTGGTTGTACGCATTCGTTCGTATCCACACGCTTGAGGTCCAGCTCTTTATCTCTCTCCTCATCCAATCGTAGACGGTTGTTGTAGTGGGCACAACACCCCCACCCGTCGAACTCCGTCTGCCCACAGAAAGCCATAACTGTTTTGAGACACATCCACCACTACAACAAGGAAAAAGTACTTGGGGCCAATCAGAAACCACGGGTCGTCCGTAGCCGTACTAATAATAGCAAAAAACGTCGACCACGCTCTTTCTGTAGTCTTCCCTCCCTCTCCCCGATTTTATTTTGTTCTTTTTCTACTCAGAGGCTGCTGTCGTTGTCGTCGTCGTAACCCCGAGAGGGAGGCGGCCGCCTCACCATTGGCGGGTCCCACACGCGAGTCCTAGGCACTTCGGCCAATCGCTGCGCGAGGTGTCCCGGCAGCAGGTCCTTTCTCGTCACGATACCCACCACCTTAGGGGAGGGGGGGGGGGGGGCCTACTCTTAAACTTTTCATGCCTTAACGGTTAAACCATGGACCACCCGTCCCCCAAAAGACGGAAGACGGAAGGGGGGAAGGGGGGGCCTAATCTTATGCTTTTGATGCCTTAACGGTTAAACCATGGACCCCCCCGCCCCCAAAGGAAGGAACATTTTTCCCCCAGGAAAAAACACCCAAGGCCAAACCTTCCTTCCTAATTTTCCAAAGGGGGGTCAAAAATGTCTTCCCTAATCTGTTTATCCCAAAAAAATCCCTTCCCCCATTATTAAAACACTTTCTAATCCAAAACTACCGTCCCCTCCCCCTCTTTATTCCATGCCCCAAAAAACTCCCTGGAAGTCCCTTGGATTTTTCCCAACCCAATCAAGTACACTTTCCCCTCCTTTTTGT